TCTAACTTACTGATATCTTTGTGTCACACCTGAAACTTTTGTTTTCTTCCATTTGCCATCCTGTGGGTCTTGTAAAGTTATTGCTTTTTATCCCACCATACACTATTGAACTATTGAACCCCGAGCTACAGGTATTCTCAATAATTTCCAAAGCATTTCAAACTGGGAGATTTCGTGTTTGCCAATGCTATCCAGGGACGGCGGATGAATTGGATACTAGGACGAGTTCTGCGGTATCGTGGCACAGTGCTTTGCAATGTGCAAGTCGGTACTTAACTATGGAGACGTCATGCTGGTCCAATGGGGCGAGGTTACACACGTGATGCTGTGGTCTCGGAAGGCAATAGATTGGATTTCAACGGACTATCGGACAAACATATGTAAGACGTGAAGTTCGGCCTTTAGAATGTTCAGAAAGAACAAGGAGATTTGTGCAGCCATTTCACATGGACCCTCGTCGGATGAACTATGCGGCCTTCAGGTTCGATGAACGTACACCACTGAAGAGACTCAGGAAGTCAAAACCGCCGTCTGGTGTTTAACCAGACGTGTGAGAACCTGCTTGGCTGAAAGGTGACTGCGATGAGCCATACCCACATGAAATTTTGCTGTCAAACATCTTACATTGTTTTTTATATAACGTATACATTCTGAATTTAAAGCTACAATTGATTTTTCGCTGTAAGCTGCAGATTTTTTGAACATAGACTATCAAAACTTTTTGCAAGAAACGAACGTGTACACATTGATGGTTTATGACCTGATATATTTTAAATATATGAATTGGTGCAAACTTATATTCTGGACACATCATTTTGATTGGGCACAATGTGTGCACAAAGCTAGTTACAAACAAGCATTAATCGGGAAAGAGCTTGCGCTTATAGCTATCGCATCGACACATTTCCTTAGGGCAACCACGTTTGATACTCCAACAGCAGCCAGACATCATGTTTCTCCCATCGTCATCAAATCTTAATGAAAACCTTCTTCTCGTCCGTCACTTACCGCCCCAAGATTTAGGGGGAATTGATCAAGTTGTTTGTCTCAGAAAATCAGTTTGGCGCTCACGTTGCACCTGAGCTCACGAAATACCAACAACACTGTTAATCTGTTCCTCATAATTATCTAAGCTTTCGTTCCTAAGAAAGTTTTACACAACTTTTACGAATGGCTGCCACACATACACCTTCTTGGCATTCGTCTTTGGGACAAATTTCTCATAACGCAGTAGTTCTCGAATTTGAACACCGTTTTCGCGGGAGCTCGGACAGCTATTCCAGAACACAGATCGGGTTGCATGGTAATCTTTATTTGTACAGCAAAAGGGCCCCTGTTTGCCTAACTACAAAAGAACGACCCCGTCGAACGCTGCTAGCTAGGGGAACAGAAAATACACAGTAACCGGTGCGATTGCGCGTTGCAGTCGAAACGGGCGCCAAGCAAAATTGCAATGTTCAACCCAAACAATCGAACTCAGCAACCAGTCTAACGATCCGCACCGGTCGCCTAGGTGTACAATGAAAAAAATAGTTATTTTGTTTAGAATTTTACACAGGTAAACCGGGAAGTCGCCAGCCTGCTACACCGTCAGCTCTAATCTACCACACTGACAAGGACACAAACACATTATTATAAGTTAAACTATTCGCCATCGGTATTCATAGCTCTCACAAGCTGTTTCACGAAACCATGTTCTAAATGCAGTGAAGGAAATGCCATCTCGCTGCTGACAATCAGACCGTTCACGATGTTTGATATGCCAACTTCTTGAGTTTCAACTCTTGGCCAATCCTTCTGTGTCTAATGTTTTTTATGTGTTCGACTGTGCCACAAGCGAAGATAACATGGGAACTTTGCGCAGCCTTTCTGTTGGGCAAGAAGGATGTTCACTATTTTGAGATCAATGCAAAGGATCTATAGTTGTGTTCATAATATATGATGAGATCAATAACTAATCTTATGTCATTATGCTCTTTTCTCAAATGCACATGGTAAGTAACTGAAACTACTACGTTTGCGTTACCATTAATGCAGTGGAACACATCTGAGACTACTAGTTGAACTTGTTAAAAATAATGTTCACCATGTTGCATCATAGGAGGAGATCCCCAATTGCAATGAGACCTGGTGTATTATGACAGTAAGCAAACTGTCGTCTGAAAATGACGAGAAAACTCTATTCCCGTTTTCGGAAGAAGGAGGCTTTTGATCTGCAGTTAGGCAATCTTTTTCACGTAGTCTAGAAGCTCATAACTCGGTTGCTCTCTTAGAAAGCCTTAGAGTACGCACTAAGTAACGTAATTCCTGTTGACTGGCTTGCTGAGAGGCTGACGAAAGTTCAGTCTCATTTCCAGAATCTTAATAAGTTGAAGCCGATTTATGTACCTGGGCTCCTTCTTCACGCCCGCTGATGGCGGCATCTGATAAAGGAAAACTTTTTAATTTTGGTACTGGAGGCTCTGCTGAGGAACTACTGAAGTAAAAGTTCTTATGCTGATTCTCCATGCCAATATTTTTTGTATTAACTATGTGCAAATAACAGTCTGTTTTGTTTCGTTATTGCTCGCAATTGGCAGGACTTTGCATTTGCCGTTTCTCACTCAAGAAAGATTTCCTCACATTAACGGCACCCAGTGTGAACTGCCCATGTTTTGTCTTGGTCGCAAAGGGTATTTCAAACTAAGCCTTATAGACATGTTTTACAAACGAGGTGATATTGCTCTTTTGACGAACTAGTATTAACGATGGCCTGCATAGCAAAAGACATCCAGTTCATGTACAAATTGATGTTTACTTAAGTGAGCTATGGTTGTATTTGGCAGTTACTTTGTTGTATATTTTAAGTCAATAACAACCGTAGGACGAGTAACACAATGCACTTTAACTAACAGTCTACCTAACAGTGGCACATGCAGCAATGAAGCTATAGAGAAGCGGCCAATCTTGTATGTGTGAGTGTGTCTGCTGCGTGCACGTAGTATCGTGTGTCTGAACGGGTAAGTTGAGTACACAACAGGATTGGTACATAAATTCCTATTTATGTAAAGTATCAAAATGCATGGAATCTTAAGATTGTAGAAAAACTAGTTCAGATTTGAAATCAGTAGTGAAAGTTCATTTGGAATCGGTTTAAAGTCGCTTCAGTAAGTAACCGAAAGTTTTTGTTGCGCAATGCTTTGTGAACCCAGGACGGGTGAATGTCCCGCTGTAACACACACGATCACAGCGATGCAATATTATATAAATGTAGTTTGAAAACGCGGATTAATAAATGGAAAAGCACAGTACCATTATAGCATAATCCAGTTGGTTAGTTCTCGGACTAGTTTGTTTAGTCTCAGCTATGCCTAAACTCACAATTTCCACAAAATAAAGTATAAAATTTTAGTAGAACTATCTTCCTGCTTGGTTACCGTCGCTTGGGCCTCTGTCCATTTAAGTCGATGAGCATGCTCTTTAGCTATAATTCTTATCACTAATACCTACACTACGAATTCACTACACGGTTTTGGATAGCATCGGTAAGGTCGTATATATGATAAACTATTGCTTCGTATATGAGGAGGTAAAACCTTTCAATGACTCTTGTTTAGGCTCCTACCGGCAGTAGTCCATGGACCCTGGAAGGTGGATTCTATCGACCACTGTGGCCCATTGGCAATTTTGTTAACGATAGTAACACCGTGATTCTTGTGATAAGAATGATTTGTCAGGTAATCGGTTTACCGAAGAAAAATGCCTAGAAGACAGTATTTTGTTCCCTCGCTTATCTTAGGAGTGCTATTACTCACAGGGTTTCGCACCAGGTCATATCACACCGAACTGACCACAGGCTAAATCCAACTAGACGATGTCGCCATCAGTTGCATATAGCTCACGTCAGCGCACATTGTCTTTCAAACCGGAACGCCTGCTTAGATTTCGATCGCGCTGTAGTGGGTGACGCGACAATTACCACTTTATCAGCCTCAAGTAAGCGCCTTACTTTGAGCTTACTTAAACAGTAGTTGAAATCTCCATCCAATAGCACTATCAAGTGCAGTTGGAACGTCAGCTGTGGTTATTGAAGGGAATTCTGATTGGAATCCACTTTGAGGCATAGGCAATGGATCCTCCACTTAGTTTACTGTATCAGAATAGTTGACGGATTTATTGACTATACTTTGTTTTGTTTGCTCAACGTATAGAAAACGATCCAGTTGAGTTTCGAGCCTCGGACTTTGTGTAACAATGATGTGGCGTTCATCAATAAGCATCAGGACTGATCGCGAACGTTGCTGGACGCTGTGTTTCCGAATGCAATCCACGCGGTCAGCAACATCCATGACTGGAGGCACGAAGCCGACGATGCACTCTTTCAAAAGATTGCGTCTATCTCCAGCTTTCACATTTTACGATTGTGTCCAGTTCCACATCGATCTCTCCTTGGCTGGTTGCGTTCTTTCACATACTCCACCTTCTCCCACTTGTAGCAAATTTCCATTAGTATGATCACATTGATCATGGCAGCTGGATCCTGAAAAACGCTGCGGGACTAAGGCCACAGCAAACTAATCGAATCGAACCGAGCCCATTCAAATAGACAACAGATAGCATAGCCTTCAACCAACGGATCCGGGACAAACGAATGGAACAAAGGTGATGCGAAGTGGTTTATATTCGGTGGTGGCTATAGGCTCACATCTAAGTGTGAGAGATATAACCCAAGCTGGGTTAACAGTTTCATTCAATTTTCACCAGAAGAGTTCACTCACACATACTACATAAAAGTACCTACTCTCTCTCTCTCTCATATTTTTGTTGGGTAAGCAATTATGTTCTACTTTGACTTGACATCATAAGGGGCATGCGATTGTGTGCTAAACCTAGGTAAACATTTGTTTTTCGCGACTCACCCACCCGGGGGTCAGGGCAGGATAACTCACAAGGGTTCAGTATTCCTTGGTGGTCGCATAAGAATGCGCCTGACGGCCCAACTACTACTCAGTAACGAAACGTCGAGTTGGCATATACATATATTTTTAGCTCTTAATACATACGGTGGAAACTAAGCATGCATCTGTCCATTATCCCCGTGGCTAACCATCGTGAAATGCATGAAATCAAGCGAAGGGAGTGTTTGTATCTTGTTGTGGAATCTGCATCGGAGCGTCTGCTGTGAACTCAGACTTTGTGGGACATGTCAGCATGCGGATCCGGGGGTCCTCGGTCAGTTCCCTTCGGCTGCAGTGGTTGTACGAGAAACAATGGAATAGATCAAGATAAGAAAAGTGGTAGGTTTATCAGCACTGAGAAATAAGTTTACGCCAAACGTTTCCTAAGTGCGCAACTTTCAGGCCTACATTATTATATACGCAGATTACTACAGACAAAACAATGTGGAAAGGTCGACAAATTATGATAACGGAAAGGGTATGTCTCGTTAACCAAAGAATATTCATCAGTATTATTACTCTGATTCGTATTATTATTGCCAATTATTATCGTCATTAATCGGTGTTGTTGTTGTATTGGTATTATTACACTCGACTAGGCGAGCCAGTAGGTGGGTAATAATTCGGGAACCAATCGGACGCAGTTAAAAGACAAGTGATGGTATGAAAGATGCAGGGAAATTCGTCTCCGCTTCTAGAAATAATATGACTATTAATTGACAATCAGTGCACCAAGATGAAGCGGTAAAACAGGTGCCGAGGAATGGACGTAATAAAACGAAAGTTTGAAGTTGCAAACTGCTACCCAAAGTGTATCTGCATCCACCGTTTCTATGACAAAGTGCAAGCTTAGATCGATTGTTAGTTGCGAGGTCCACTGACCTGGACGTTTCGGCCAAACTGGTGGCGCAGTTTATGCTGGCGATAATTGTGACTTTGGCAGGGTCAGCTTACTTTTCGCTCAACACTCCGACCCGGCGGTGGCTTCTCCTACCCCAAATTTTATTCAACGGAAATGGGAAGACACGTGAGCGTGAGGTGTGTTTGTACATCTTTCCTCTACCGCTTTGTCCGGCCACCGCGCTACCGGAGAAAGTCCTCCGCGGTGTAGTGAATGGAGCTGCACATTGGTGCGGTCACCATGAACAGTCGTTTAGGTATTTCAGAGATATCTTAAGTCTATGAATTAATTTTGGTGAGGCAGACTTCCTTCCGGAAGCCAAACGGCTTTTAAAACAACGTTCTGTTACAAAAGAGGCCACTATAGTGGCCAGTGATCAGTGCGACACGGTGTTAAGATCGCACTGGAGCCGTTCGTGGTTGTCCGGTCATCTGATCCTTCACCATATCTAGATATGATCAGTGAAAGTTAGGAAATCGGAAGCAATTAATCTCGCTAAATGGTTAATGAACACCAAGAATGGACGAGCTCCAAGCACCGAGCTTTTTAGTACACCACACACCACAACGATTGTATCGGAAAATGATTCTCGAACTCTCACCTCTAGTCTTCGCTCGTTTCGAAAATTGCTAATCCAACTCAGGATTGGGTCACCAATGCCGTACTTCCTAAGTTTCTGAAGAAGAATTCGATGGTCTAAGCCATCAAACACTTTTGAGAAGTCCAGGTAGATGACATCGACTCCTGCTCCATCATCAACAGCTTCAGTCCAGCTATTACGTGCAATTAATAGGTTAGTATTACATGGACGCTTTTGATGAAAGCCATGTTGCTCTGGGGCCATTAAGTTGTGGCTTTCCAAATACTGCATCAGCGCATTTGCGATGTTTGATTCCATAACTTTGGATAGTACAGGAAGTAGTGTTATTGGACGGTAGTTGGTAGGGTCACTGTGGCTACCTCCTTTATGGATAGTAGTGATGACCCCACGCTTCCACACTGGAAGAATATGGTTCTCTTCTAAACATCGCTGATAGACAACAGCCAGTGTTCTGCTAGATCAATAGCTACCGCCTGCAGAGCCTTTGGTCGGATGTTGTCGACTCCAGAGGAACTGTGGATACGCAAGGATAACAACTTCTTCAGCACAGCTTCCGCAGTGAAGGTGATATTGTCTAAACCCTACGGTGGAGAAATAGAGATGAGGAGAATATTTGGGCCCGTTACCTGCTGGAAAGTTTGGGAGTAATGAAGCCGTAGGAGATCGGCTGCTTCCATTGCTGATCACGTGCACCCATCAGCCGTGACTAGTGCTGGAATCCCCCGCTGCACCTTTCGAAGGCCGTTAACGTGGCTGTACAGAAGTTTGCGGTTCGTGCAGCGTCGCTTCATTAACTCCTGCTGATGCGTGACCCTGTCTTCGCGGATCAGTTTCACACAGAACTTACGATGTGTCACGTATGCAGTCCAGGTTTCGGCATTTGAGCAGTCCTTGTGATCTCACCATGCCAAATCCCTCCGGGACATACGTGTAGGTGTTCTGCTCCTCAGCAATGACTTGTGCTTGTTGTTGGGTTGGAAGCACTTCTGTTCCGATGCGGGCGCTACCAGTGTGCTAAATGTCCTTGTAAAGGTTTCACAGGCAACATCTGGGGGGCATTCGGTTAAGAAAGTCCAAGGTGTATCCTTAACAAGCGTAGATAACACATTATGGTGCGTGACAGTATGCACCTTCTCATCCTCCTTTTCAGGATACTCCGCATAGCATATACAATCAACCAGTAGAGTAACATGGTCACAACGACCCAGTGGTGTGCTTGTAACTATCCCATCAACCATGAGTTCTTCGTTAGTGAGCACAAGATCCAGTATCGATGACTTGTCAGCAGTTCGAAAGCTGGTGGGAGAGGTTACGTGGTTGTACAGGGGGTGGCTAGCTCTTGCAAGCAGGCTTTAAACTGCATACCGTCGGTTGCCGGCGTTCCCATATCGTGCGCTTTAAAGTCTCCAGCGATAAGAATGTGGGTGTATGACTTGTTCAAAGCAAACTGAAAAACGAGGTTCAGTTTGGAGTCCATTTCCGACGTTGAGTTTCGTGGGCGGTAAATCACGGCTGATAGACATGCGTCCTTGTTTCGCAACCATAGACAGCACCAAAGCGAATCAGGAGCGCGGTTTTCCGGGTGATCGATAACTTCACATCGGAGGTTTGTATTATAATAAAGAATCACACCGCCATCCCTTCCGGTTCTATCGGCCGAAGCAGCGACATACCGGGTAAATTGATCTCAGAATCGGTTATCTCAAGGTTTAATCAGGTCCCTGTAATCATGATGTGGTCCGGTGGTTGTGAGACATGGAGTTCTCTAAGTTCGGCCGATTTACTTAGAAGGCCATAGGCGTTTGCGTACATACAAGATAGGGCTTTTGTTTTTGGGAGTGCATTGATGGATGTCAACTTTGTGTTAGTTTTTAAGCCGGCCGTTAGGTGGCCGGCCATTAATCGTTTTTTGGTTTATGAATTTCAGCCAAGTTGCATAGCATTATTGAGCGTTCCTGAACAGACATTTCACTCGTGCTGTGTTCTGTCCTGTTGTCTGCCGTGGGTGCTGTTGTGTCGGTCTCTCCGCAGGACTGTACAGATAAAGCATTTGCAGCGTTCGCAAGTTCCCTCGAATTGCTTACGACTCTTGGCCGTTCGCCTGCTGCCTTTAGCCGGATCCCTGTTGACAAGCTGGCTCGAAACTTTAACCAGTTATCCAATAGCTACGGACAGAAAGACCACCACTATTTTGGACAGACTCAGTGGTGGTGATGCAGCTTATGCGTCCCACGACGAGACGTTTCATAATGTTTGTAGCTAACCGGCTTTCCGAAATCCACCAGTTTTCTAACCCGACATTGGAGGTATATCGAAACATCAGCGAAGCCAGCTGATCTAGCTTCTAGATGGTTCCGAGCCAGCGACTGAAACACCACGACTGAAACAAGAGATTGAAGGTACCAATTGCTTGCAGTTCGATTCGTCGCGCTGGCCCAAAATGTGTGACACTCTGAAGGAACTACCGAAAGAGTGGTTAAGGAAAGGAGATGTCTGGATTCATTGTACAGAATCGACGAAGACGTGGTTGGAAATGTTCTCAAACTGTGATAATTGGACCACGCTTAAACCACTTGTCGCCATTATTCTCAAGTTCAAGAGGTATTTGATGCAGAAAACCGGTAGATATCCGAATGACACGATCGAAACGGGGTGGACGTTACGCGAACTTAATGAAGCGGAAGCTGAAATATTGCGAAATGTTCAACAAGCAGCGTTTGCAAATGAGATTCGAGCACTGAAAAGTATTCAGCCAAAGGCGTAGCTAAGACGTCTCAAGGGCTCAAATAGCTCGCTAAAAATGTTCTGTCCATTTTTTACGACGGCATTCTAAGAGTAGACGGAAGACTGCACTGCGCTCCCGTGCCATACGACACAAAGCGTTCGATACTGATCCCATCCCGGCACTTCGTAACTAGTTTACTTCCACTGTACAGGATCATTTTTATAAGAGAAACGAGATAGAATGTTCCTAGTAGTACCAAGTGAGCTGAAAATGAACATGCCAACCCAAACTTTCTATCATGTCGGGTTTTGGTTTAATTACAATTTTTCATTGCAGCTATGCAGTACCTTCCATGCATCAAAGGCTCGCCTGTGATTGGTCCATTAGCTCCCTGTAATCGTGGAAAAGAAGTCCCCTTGGCCATGGTATCCACCTGATACTGAAAGTTGATTGAGTGCTATATTTTCTTAATTGGTATCTTGATCATGACTGAAAGACACTGTAGTGTTCATGACGGAAACCAATTTTTTTACGTCTGTGGTCAGTTTACTACAATTCGCCTACCCCACAAATTTAGGGATGAAACCGGGTGATCAGGATATGAAATGGACGCCACATATTGTTTGTGTGTCATGCAATCTTCATCTGCCTCCGTGGCTCAAGGGCAAAGGCAAGATGCCCTTTGCAGTCCCCATGGTATGGAGGGAGCCGAAGCATCACAGGCCAGACTGCCACATCTGACTAACCAGTGTCATTGGAATCTCCAATCGAAACAATGACAAAATTCATTACCCCGATCTTCCATCAGTTATTCGACCCGTTCCTCATGATTGCATCTTACCCGTTCCAGTGTCTCCAATGAACAAGTCACTGATGATGAGTGGTGATTCCGCATCATCAACTTTCCATGATTCTGGCATCTGTGAAAACTTTGAAGCTGATGTTGTCAACACACATCTTATTGAACAATCAGGACTGTATGACTTGGTACATGACCTGGGCTTGCCTAAAGACAAGGCCGAGTTGCTGGCAAATTGGCTGTAGCAGTGGCACTTACCTGCC